CTCGAGCTGCCTCGGGGCTGTCCTGCAGGCTTCTTGGGTCATCCGGGCCTCAGAACTTGTATGGGCACTTCAGCCTTGGACTCTACACGAGAATCTCGGACTCGGAACTTACATGAGCATCCGCATCTCAGAATTTATATGCGCACCTCTGCCTAGAGATTTACACGGGCATCTCCTTATCACAATTTGCATGGGACCTCCGCCTCAGAGTTTACATTTGCGCCGCGGAGACCCAGGGGCCGCAGGGCAGAGGCGAGGAAACACAAGGTCCTGTATCCTCATCCTCCCTCCTACGCCGTCTTCCGCTTCCACCTCCTCTGCCCTCCTCCTTCTCCATCTCCTCCCAGCAGATTTGGCTGATGAGGAGTCATGGCGCATTGCATGACGTGCTACACATTAGTTGTTCGCGCAGGCGCTCATTGAATGGTTATGGCGTGTGGCGTGCGGAGGGCTGGTGGAGGACGGGTGCGGATGGAGTGCGTGAGTCGTTGCCAGATGTAATAGGTCAGGCAGTGAACGTCCTAAGGCTGTAGCAAACTGCCAATGCAACATCCAATTCGTCCACCAAACGCAGAAAACGGGCTTCCTCCCTCCTCCTTCCTCTCACTCCGCCTCCTCCTCCTCCTCTTCCTCGTCCACGTATCCGCCATCCTCTTCGTCGACATTCTCGTATTCGCACTCGCCCTCATATCACTCTTCCAGCTTCCTCGTCTCGCGGAAGGCGCCTATGGCAGGTACAGATGCCAAAGCCAACCACCAGTCCGACAACAGCTCCACCGAAAGCCGCCAACCAGGCACCTCCCCCTCCCGGATCCTGGGGAGACAGTGGACATGCAAGCGGCATGGCGAAGACAGGAATCTTGGCATGGAGCTGTGAGGCTGGGAGTTTCGCGGTATGGAGGGAAGGGGCGAGGGAACAAGGGATACTGCCCTCTCCTTCCACTCTCTTCCCTCCCATCCTCATCCGTCACCCCTCATCTCAACCCGCGTTGGGAGGTACGATACGACCACCGCTGCGGAAGCCGTCCGGGCCTAGCTAAGACCAGGTGGGCGAGGCCGTGGCCTCAGAAATCTGGTGTGTCTGAACAACATGCAATGCGAGATGCGTAAACAATTCATAGAGGAGCGCACGGCTGCAAAGCAAACAGATAAAACCCGCGTTGGGAGGGCGGTGGGCAAAGGCAAGTGTCGCCATACAGTCCTTCACGGGCAGCGCAGCGCGGCCCCGCCCAAAAGAACCCCCTTTATCCCGCTCTCGAGAGCGACACGCCCGCCTGTCCGCAGAGCGAGAGCCAAATTTCCATTCACGCTACAGTAGGGGCCCGATCACAAGAAATCTTCCACAAGGAACCCAACCCTGCGGCCCCAGGACGGCCATTGATTTATGGCGTGGGAACGTCGCGCTCTCCATCGCAAAACTATCGAAACCCAAGAAACACAGAGCACCCTGGAGGCAAGCAGGTTGTTTCTTGGCATGGGCCCCCACTGTACTCAGCGCGGCTCTCTCCTGATTGGATGCCCGTACCTCTGGTTTGACTGGCGCGCATAAGGCTCACAGGAAACTGGAGCACCCCAAAACGGCGCAACTGCGAAACACAACGAATAATGGTTCATCACACGCATGCGAGCAAGCCTGCTGCAAACAGATTCGCAAACACATGCGCAACGCATCTGCAAAACCACTGCAGAGGGGTAGCGTCGCGCTAAACAAACACAGGTGGCAATAAACTTTGGGCCGTGGATCACGCACGACTGACGACCAGAAATCCACAGAGGCGGCGACGGGGGTGCCGACGCAAAGGGGTGCGAATGCCGAAGACCTGTTGAAATCAACAAACATTGGCGTTATGAGTGTGTATGTGTGTGTGTGTGTGTGTGCCGCGAGGCTCCCGCCGCGTTCTTACATTCTCACTGTGTGCGGCGGCCGCGGCAAGACAAACACACACACAAACTGCTTGGCATAAACTCTTGCGGTGCCGTGGTGGGCCTTAGCCGCCGTTTCCGTCAACACGGACAAAATTTCGCGCATTCGGACGAAGCCTTTCTCAAAAAACGGTTCGACCAACTGGGCAACGCGACGATTTCGGCAGAGTGGGGAAAACAGGGCGTCGATCAAGGGTGTGCGTGCGCTGACTGGCTGCATTGGAACCTGCGAACTTCTTTCTCTGGGAGACATGCGGCATTTCTCCAGCTGGTGCTCGACATCGTAATGGTTTTGTCGTCGATGTGCGTTTTCGTGCCATGTACGTTTTCAGTTCGGCATTGCCCCCCAGGGCCCTGCGGTGGGGTGGGTCGCTTCGGCATTGCCCCCAAGGCCATGAGGGGGCGCCTGGGGGGAGGTGGGAAGGGGTCGCAACATCGTAATGGTTTTGTCGTCGATGTGCGTTTTCGTGCCATGTACGTTTTCAGTTCGGCATTGCCCCCCAGGGCCCTGCGGTGGGGTGGGTCGCTTCGGCATTGCCCCCAAGGCCATGAGGGGGCGCCTGGGGGGAGGTGGGAAGGGGTCGCAAGCGGGCCGGGTCGGCCGTCACGGCAACGAAGCACAGCAGAGAGAAAGCGGCGAAGAGGGAGGAACCTTCACTGGACACGTGAACGCGCAGATTCACAGAGCCCGCTTCACGAAGGGAGGCACCATCGCGGCAGCATTGTGAACCTCGCACAGACGGCGGGGGCAGGGCGGATCCGGCGGGGGCGCCTCGTCTTGCCGCGCTGCGAAAGGGACTTTGTCCGATCAGGCCCCATTCGCAAAGAAATGTCAGATCCAGGAGGCTCCCAGGAAGCTCCCAAGAGAGCCCCCAGGAGGCTCTGGAAAACCCAAGACCCCCCACTCCTTGCCCACCTGAGCCATCTCTGGGGTGACCGAAAGGTACCGATACCGTTACTCAGACCTCTCCGGGGATGCCTTCTGACCAGGATTTCGAGGCGAATCGGTGGCGACGAGGGTCATAATGCCTTCACCATGCCTACCTTCAACGACCGGCGGACGACCTGACTGCAGAGGCCTCCTAGGTGGAGTCCGAGTGGATGGAGTCGGAGGATCCCGCCGCATTGCCGATACATCGGCGATGCACCAGCGAGGCCAGCGATGGATGCATCGACGACGTTGGCATGGAGAAACTCTGGCCCCACATCGAGCCGCATCGCCGATGCATCGGCGATGCGGCGCGACCCCATCTGGGAGGCCTAGGGACTGTGCCAGCAGCCTTGCGGGACGGGAGAATGACCACAACCACTGCTTCTTGTTTGCGCCGCCTTCCAGCCGGCCGAAAAAGAACCAGCGATTGTGGCCATTTCCCTGGTACCAAGCGTAACGAAAATTACCACAACCACTACTTTGTTTCTGCTGGCTGGAAGGCGGCAAGTGGTCCT